ACTTCCACTGTTCCTGATGACTGCCATTTCTTAATTACATTCCGAACAGAGGATGTTGACATCTAAAAACGCTTTGCTATCTTCGTATAGCCTTCTCCAGCTTTGTGAGCGTCAACTATTTTCAGTTTCAGTTTTCTAGACAACTGCTTAGAAGAACCCATGGTGCTGATTGTTGGGGCAATGTCAGATGAGTCTGGGCATTTAAAACCTTTGAGATTGACATCACCTGGTCTTCCCAGACGATGATTGAGAACAATCCATGACACTGGCAGGTCTCAGCTTTGCAAAGGGGGCAGTGCATGCTATAAATTCTGCAGGGTGCCCAAACTTTTGCAGACGCCATTTTTTTTGTTTTCTGTTATTTTGAAAGTGTAAATGATGGAAATAAAATCTAACTTTTGTTGACATATTATAAGAATGTCTAATCTGTAATTTGATGCCTTTTGGAGATTTTTCCATCTTTCCTTGGCTTCTTTATGGACATTAATACAAATTTTTAGCTGGGGTGCCCAAACTTTCAATCCCCACTGTATACATCATATACACAGTGATATGATGGGACACCTTTCCTCCAACTGACACAATGATGGGGCATTTTCTACTCCCACTGGCCAGTCTCTCCCCTCCCACCTCTAAAGGTTGAAGGACCGTAAACTAGCTCTTTTGTTAGTTTGTGCCCAGAATTAAGTGTCTGATTGGTAGGATTTGGCTGCAGGTGTCAGAACCCAGGAATGATCTCTCCTTTCTTGATACTGAACTCTTTTCTTTCAGTAGACTAGTCACAGGTCTGTGAAGAAAGTCAAGGTCAGGGTGCTAGGCATCACATGTTGAGAATGTGAACTTTTATCCTTTTTAAAGTGGAACTACACTGCATCTGAGGACCACAAGTTGTCTAATCCACATCAGTGTTTATATTGTAGATGGCATTGATCAGTTTAGAGATATTGGGGTTGATTTACTAAAGGGGTAGAGACTTTGTGTAAGTGAAATGTCAGTGGAAAAGGTGAGCCTGTGTTGATTTACAATGATACTAAAAAAACCTGAATTTGTGCTAGCACATGATTGGTTGACTGAAGTAAATGGTTAGATGTGAACCACCCTACTCCTATATAGCGGTGTTATCGTAAACACGAGTACAGAACACGGGTGTTGTGTTTATGTTTACGATGGTACCGCCTGTATACTGCACCTGCATTGCCCTGGTGGACGAAATGTGAACAGGCTCAGCCAGCCTGCAAGCAAGAGCCCTTAATGAATCAATCCAATTACAAAGCAGGCATAGTAAAAATTTGTGTTGTAAGTTCAATCCATCTTTCTAATACTACACACTCCCATTCACACCATATTAGACTTTTAATATTGCGATATTAACAATATATATATGCATGTCAATGGTTTCTTCTTTTTCTTCCTGCTTTGTATAAAAGTGTAAGAATGATGAGTCATAATCTTAATGCCCTAGTAGCTGTAGCAGTGTTGTGCTGTTTTTGCTGACTTTATTTATTTTATTTTTATAATTTAAAGCTAGAATTATGTCCTTTTTTTTTTAATCAACTGTAGAGTGGATTGTAGGCAATTCTTTGAATAGTTTTGAGGGCAAACAGGAATAAACTGTTTTGTAAGTAAGATTTTACTGAGACTTTCATAATGCTACCTAAATCATATTGGGTAGTTTTATGAAGTCAAAAAATATGAAATTCCTGTTAATTCCTCTTGCTTTTTAAGATAATGGCTCTAGTAACTAGCATGTCCCAATGATCCATGAGGGCTTAGGAGTTCAGTGTACCAAGAAATACAGAGATGAAATGAAAATAACTGGATGGAGTCCTTGATATTGCTGAATGGTTTCTTACTGTATTCTAAAAAGGGTTATAAATATTTGGCCAATTTGTTTTCTGAAACTTTCATGACATGCTTTGGCATCCATTATAAACCAGAGTCTGTATGTGTAGATATTGTTTACTTTATTACCATCAGGACAAAAAGGAGCTAAATATATGTGTAGCCTGTTGAGAATGTGAACTTTTATCCTTTTAAAGTGGAACTACACTGCATCTGAGGACCACAAACCAAAAATGTTATTGAATTCATTGTTAATACTCAAAGCAAACTCAACCATCCATCCATGTCTCCATGCTTTATTTTGCTGAGAAACATTTTGGAAAACACCTCCTGGCATTTCTGACAGTGGCCATCTTGAGTAACGGCAGATGATTCATATAGTAGTTACTGTCTGGAATCAATCTGTCCTTAGCTCAGGAATTTGCTAAGCTGAGAACCCTCCTGAAGACTCTTGGGATATACGACATCATAGCCTAGGCATGAAAACCAGGAAGGTAAATGAATGCAAAAAAAAAAAAAGTTAGAACAAGTAAATATGATATACTTTCCGATCTATTTAATAAAGTTAGTAGCATAAAGATTAGAAATAGCCCATGTTGATTGAGAGAGTGAGGTTCCACTTTAAGTAAAGCTGAAATATTGCATAGTCTCCTTGTTAATGCCTTTCAGCTGCGCTGAAAGAAGCCATTTGTTAACAGAGGTCAGTATGTCATTACAGCAGACTCGGTAGGCGATTTTAGCCAAACAATAGGGCTGCAAAAGCAGACTTTTTTTTTTTTTTTTGTTCTGTCTTTTTCAGGTTTTAAATATTTTCTATGGACCTCCTCATATTAGCCTCCACCTCTGAGCACCTAATAGATGCTGTGACTACCTATCTATTTCTGCCCAGGTTCAACATTTTCTGAGTAGGTTGCCCCTTGTATGGGCTGCAAAACTCTTGGATAATAAGATAATAAAAACAGATAACATAAACTGAAAGCTTAAAGTGGAACGCCACCCAAAAGGAAATTTGGAGGGGGGGAGTGGGTACCTGGTTTTGACAGGTACGTGCTCCCACTTTGGGCTGAGTTCACCGTGGCCGAAAGGCTTCGCTGCTGGTTTCCCTTAGTTAGGATACCTGCACCTGAAGGAAATCGGCTTGGGTGAGGACATTGCCAGACACCTGGACATGTAAGTGTCCTTATAGTTAAAGTCAACAGCTACCGTGTTTATAGCTGCTTACTTTACTTTTTTTTTTTTTTTTTTTTTGAGACCGAAACTATGCTTAAAAATAGAATAAAGAGGGCAAGGTCCTTACCCACTAAAAGTAAAAAAAACTTTAAAGAAACCATATGATTGAACTACTATTGGATGATTCTACGTACCATAAATATCCCCACCATCTGCTGTAGACTTGCATACATGTAGCATGATTATTTTATATCTTGTTGAGTTTTTTAACATATGGCTACCTTATAGAAGACCTATATAGTATAGCAGGCTTGTAATACCTCTGTTTTAGCTAATTGGGATTTGTTAGCAACATTTAATGTGAACAAAGAATGTACATTATACCTTATTACATAATTGCAGATTGGAAGCAGAAGACTGCTTCCCAAAATTGGCCAGTACCTAGGCACACTTTTATTCTAGCCGCACAGGTGCCTGTCATTAGTTTTAAATGATCAGACACATATAGGGTCCACCCCTGCTTCTGAATACTGTATTATATTAATGGTGTTATCCAGGGACCTGGGTCAGGGAACTGAGAAAGCAGTGCTTGCTATAAGTGCTATATTCACAATTTTGTCTTTGGTTGATAAGGATACCCACATGTAGGTCTACTTTTACAGGTCTTTCTTTAGTCTTACAATCCTGGTGCACTAACTATATAAATGATAAAAGAGGTAAAGATAACCTGTCCCCAAGACACTTATTCCAATTTCAATCCAGCGGTGATCACATGAGCAAATGCCAAGGGATTGGTAATGAGAAACCAGCCACAGGGTTTTTGGGAACTGGTAATGATCTCCACAATTTTATTATCCACATATTAAATGTGGCAGCATAGGTAATACAGTATTGTGACATGAAAAACTGAACATGAAATAAAAAAAAAAAATCACCGCCCAGTCTTTTAAAGTCATGCAGCAAAGGGGTCAAACCCTTTATCTACAAAATAAAAAGTACTAAACATCTTAAAAGGAAATGCTTTTGCTGGATTTTTACAGTAATTGACACTTTTTTTTTTTTTTTTTTTATTCTTGATTTACTTCTAGAGAGGTGTAGGGTCTTAGTACTTCTTGCAACCTAAAATTAGATTTATTAAATGTTGTATTCTTGATCCTACCGTGAACGGTTAAACACCGTGCATCCTTGAGAAATGACACCGAAGCATGATGGCGTTTTCCAGATGATCATACAATCCTCTCTCCAGTGCTATCTAGTGTACTATCTTTGTGCATTTGGCTTTTGCCCAACACTTGTATTGTTTCCAGCTGAGTTGCCAAACTCCCGCTGGCTGTATAAGCTCAGTACTTGCCTCAATACTCGCAGCTCCCCTATAAATAGCAAAGAGCGTGCCCTCCTCTTCATAAAGCCAGCTGAAAAAATATCAACAGAGATAGGGACATGATCAGGACCAGGATATGATTAGCTTGGCATACATCGATTATCGAAGCCTACAGAGCAGAATTCTGTATCCCTTCTTGCACTGTTTGTTGAGTCTTCTTGCCTGAGGGAGTCCAGCAAAGAGTGTGTTGCTGCATGAGCCTTAGCAACAGTGAGAACATTATTCTGCTTGGTTTTTTTTTTTTGGTCTTATTGCTGCTGTCAACAAAAGGGAGTGGTAATTCCTCAAAGACTGATCTGAGAGACCGTGCATGTAACTCTGATGCAGCAGAATAGACACAATCTAAGGAAGGAGGCTGCTGTTTTTTTTAAGAACGAGGGAAAGTTGAAGGCACACAGAGGGGCGTTGTATACTTCAGGCGGATCATTTGACCAATTAGCATGCGAGGGTCATGGAGCATGGAATCACTGGGGTGCATGCACATGTAGCTGGAGCTGTGGGTTTTCTCCAGCCCTCATCTGCATTGTGAGAAATCTGCTACTGTGCAATCATTGTGGCTTCTCGTTTTTTTAAGAAACTCTTTTCTGGCGGATTTTTTTTGCTCCAGGCTGTAAAAATGAAGATTCAGGAGCAGCAAAATAACACAGAACTAAGACCACAAAGAAGCCTTGATGTTGACGTTGGCCAGGAGGGCTTTGTCCCAGAGGTACCTCGCCTGGACCTCACCTCTCTTTGTGATGACAACAATTGGGAAGGTAAGGAATATTTTGTTTATGAAGCCCTGTTCATTTTCCATACATGTTTTTTGAATGATCTAGACTCTCAGCCACCATATGTTCTATCAATGTTTACTCTCATTTCATGCTGGTGTTTTGTATTTGAACCTGAGGAATAGAAAGTTTTATATAATGAAATCATATGTTAAGAAGGGTTTCCTTTCCTTCTACAGTTTCTATTGATGTGTGTGTGTGCGTGCGTATATGTGTGTTACACAGAGGTATATACTGCATTTTCAACAGATGGGTATATAGAGTGTTTGCTTTAACTTAGAATTCTGTTTCTGTTTTATTACGCCTGTTTTTTTTTTGTTTTTTTTTTTCTATTGGTATTTAAAGTTAAACAGGGAACATATTCAAGACACTAGGCACAATCCAAATAAAGAAACTGCACCTTTTTAGCTTTTTAAATATAATCATCGACTATTTGGCAGATTTGAAAACCTATTATAATTTAATGTGCATATTTGCATAAAGGGTTGGGTTTTTTTTTTTCTTTTCTTTTTTTAAGCCTTAAATTATTATTTTTTTTTTTTATTTTCCTGAAATAACTGAAATGTGAACTTACTAATAGATTTGTAATTGCAAAATATCTTGAGGTACAAGAGCAGCAACTGTTTGATCATATGGGTCTTCCTGGCATTAACCGTTTAGACAAAATCTCAAAATGTAGAGATATGAGAGCCACAGTCACATTAGGGATGTTATACCCTGCCTGTTCATCATGAGGAAGCACATTGTCACTAGACTCCTCCCACACACCTTATGCTACACAAATCTGTAGCACTAGGACTTTCGAATTTCGGTGTAAATGATGGCTTTTGCACACCTCAAATGCAACGTCACTGTACAAATGTATAAGAACTTAAAAGCTTTTAGACGTGTGTGTGTGTACAGTATAAAGTCTGAATGATCTGTGCATATACTTACTGGAGAAAGGATTGGTAGATGTCTGTGAACATGCATTGAAGTCTTTCGTTCATAATAAAAATTAGGTGCTGGAATATATATGTTTGGACTGACTTCTGTATATTGAGTCATCAGGATTTAGTTTGAGGGTAAGCAATATCTGTTCCCGTTGTGTTAGATAGATAGATAGATAGATCGATCCATTGCACACACACACTAATTTATCATTCAGGCCAAGACTGGGTGGAGGGGGGGAGCAGGAACAGTGTTGAGGGGGGAGCTGCCAAGTTGGCTGATCATCTTGCTTCTCACTGACAGGGGTGATAGCAGTGTCACTCTTGTCAGAAGGAGCAGTGGCCGATAGCTGCTGCTGGAGGGAGGATTCAGCTTTCTCCTCCAGCCTGCATGGAGCCAGAGCTGAGACCGGGAACTGTCCTTAGTCTCAAACGCCGCTGCTGGGGAACGAAGGCAGAATGTGTCATCCTTCCTCTCTCCCCTGTCTTGTGACTTGTCACATGACTGGAGAGAGGAAGGAGACACACTAAGTACTGATCTCCCAGTACGGGGGGTTGGGAAACCATTCGAGAGCATGGGAACACCTGATGCAAAGGGGGGCCTCTGCTGGGGGCCCCTGATGCAAAGGGGGGCCTCTGCTGGGGGCCCCTGATGTAAGGGCGGGGGGGGACTCTTCTGTGGATCCCACCTGGGGGGGGCCATGAATTTCCACCTCTTTTTGGCAGTCTGTCTTCTCTGTAGAATTTTTTGTGGCAAGACCCTTGCACCTAAATTACTAACATTACCTTCCCCTGCTCCATTGAAAAAAATGCCATAAAAATGCATGTGCGTTTTGGTGTGTCTTGGTGCATTTTCTGGTTGCCTGTCTCCAACCATGCACTTGTGAAACGTGGACGTGTGACTCGGAAGTGTACCTGCAACTCAAAAAAAGATAATTTTTGATGCTTTTTTTTTTTTTTTTTAAAATGTGTTTTCTATTCATTTCAATGGGAAGGTGTGTTTTTTGGTGCTTTTTTTAAACATGCAACAAAAAAATGCATCATGGGACTTTAAAAAACAAAAACACACCGCACTCTTAGCACATTACTGTGAAAAGTTCCTTAGAATTTAAAGGGATACATTTTTAAATACATTTTTTGTTCTGCTTTTTAAAAACCCAAGAGTGCATCAACAACTGATCAGTGTGAAAGGGCCCTTTAAAGTAGAATTAAACATTGTCTTTTTCTTACAAAAAAAAAAGCAAACATGTTATGCAGTGATTTTGCACAGAGCAGCCCAGATACTCTTCTTCTTGGGTCCCCTGCTGGCGCTGCTGGCTCTTCCCCTTGACCAGTGCCCCAATAGCAAGCCACTCCTGAGCCTGGCTCTATGCATCCATAAGATGTATAGAGCTGTGGCCCCACCCCCTGCTTTCTCCTCATTGGCTCACTAGCTGTGATTGACAGCAGTAGGGTGTCCCAGGACCGCCGAGGCTCTTGTGCACATCGCTGGATCAAGAGGGGGCTTGGGTGAGTATTAGGGGGGGCTGTGGGAAGAGCAGCACAAAGAAGGTTTTTTTTACCTTCATGTATAGAGTGCATGAAGTTAAAAACAAAAAAAAAAAAAACCTCATCTGATATTGCAGCTTAAAGTGGTTGTAATGGCTGTCACCTAACGTCTGACAGTTGCTGCTTGTCAACTGACAGAGTTCCCATACTGCATACTCAAAAAAAAAAAAAAAAAAAAAAAAAAATAGAAGGTACCTGTCAGACCAGCACATGTCAGGCTTCAGCCAATTCCCTGATCATTTCATCAGTGGGACTCCAATGTTTCTATTCTGACAGGTACATTTTTAAGGTACAAGAACCCATTAGCTGTCATGTCTTTTTGGTGTTCACCCATATCCGAACATCTTTGCCTTTAGGAATGTACTTATTTAGGTGGTAATGAAACAAAAGCCAACCAGCGTTCCTTCAGACACTGCTAGGGGTTCTTTAAGCTGTGGCTGATAGACCTCCCAAGTTATGGTGTCTGCATAACCCAGACTCCAGTTCCACTTGGCAGATCTAGTAGAAAGAGTTTTAGCTGTCTTTAAAGGTGGCTTCTTCCTCCCAACCACCATGTAAAAGGATTTTCTTCCTGCTGACCTGATAACTTTCAGGTCTCAGGAAACCCTTGTTGAAATAATTTCAAAATTTCCGCTTGGGGGGGAAAAAAAGGTTGAGAAAGGCTGATCTTGATATTAGTTTACTGTTTGTGTTAGCTGTTTCCTGAGTTATAGCTTTTCAGTGGAGTATATATGTGGAATGTGATTTGTTGATCTTTTTGGGAAGTTTAGCTTTGCACATTAGAAGCTGATTTCTATAACGTGCAGAAAAGAACTGTGGAGCTGATCCTTGAAGCAGCCAGGTTCCAAGTGACATGAAAGAACAATGTGCAGCAATCTTAATAATTTTCTCATGTGTAAATTAGTCCCTTAACCACTTGCTCTCCTGAGGATTTACCCTCCTTCCTGACCAGGCCATTTTTTGTGCTGTTGCGTTGCTTTACCTGACAATTGCGCGGTCATGCAACATTGCACACAAATGAAATTTATGTCCTTTTTTTTAACCACGAATTGAGCTTTCTTTTGGTGGGATTTGATCGCCTGTGCATTTTTTTTTTCTCTTTGTTTTTTGCGCTATAAAAAAAAGACTGACAATTTTGGGGAAAAAAAACAATATTTTTGACTTTCTGTTGTTAAACATGCCTGTGAAAAAATGTAAAAAATCAAATTTCATAATAAATTTAGGCCAAAATGTATTCTGCTACGTCTTTGCTAAAAAAAAAAAAAAAAAAAAAAAAATCCCAGTACGTGTAAATTAATTGGTTTACATGAAAGTTTTTTATAGCGTTTACAAATGGTGGTATAAATACTGGAATTTTTTTTTTTCTTTTTAATAGTAATGGCGGTGATCAGCGACTTATAGCAGGACTGCAGCAGGCATTCTGACACTGGGGGGGAACTGACTTGGTGTCGCTGACATCACCAGTGACACCAATATAGTGATCAGTGCTAAAAAAAAAAAAAAAAAAAAAAAAAAAAAGCACTGACACTGTACTAATGGCACTGCGCAGGAAGGGGTTTACATGAGGGGCGATCAAAGGGTTAACTGTGTGCTGGGAGTTTTTTACTGGGAGGCTGTGTGCTGGGAGTGTTTTACTTGGAGGCAGTGTGTTGGTGCTTCACTGTAATCACACTGCTTTGGATGGCTGTGCTGTACACAGCCATCCAGAGCAGTGTGCCCGAGCTGACAGGGAGGAGGCCTGTTAGTAAACAAAGCAGCCCTCCTCCCCGTCGGAGATTCTCAGTAATCGCTGGCCGTGATTGACAGCCGTGGCCGCGAATGGTGGCGCGGGTAGGGCGTGCTTACCCCCTACCCGGAAATGCAAAATCGCATATATACTGTATATGTGATTTAGCACACCCCTGCTGCCCTGTAGCAGTATTTCTGCTATAGGGCGGCGGGGATGAGGTTAAGTATCATGTCTATGTAAAGTAGAGTAAAAAAGACGGTGTTCTCCATAGGCCTTTTTTGTTTAACTGCGTTTTTGTGTGCCTGTGCCTGTGTGTGTGTGTGTGTGTGTGTGTGTGTGTGTTTTGTGTGTGTGTTTTTTTTTTTTTTTAATGTAAACCCCTACAGCAAGGATGTCCAACTCAATTTAATTACGGGTCGCATCAAAGGGCCGGTCTTATCCGTAGAACTATATAAATGTATCTGCTCTTTATCATATTAAGTGATTTGCCTCTGCATTTGATCATTACTGGTTTTAGTAATAGGCTGTGAAGGACAGGAGCAGACCGGCACATAGCCCATTCTGTGCACAAATGTAAAAAATAACCTGTGTGTTGCTCCCCCTCACAGCCCCTTCCTCATACTCACCTGAGCCCCCTTCTCAATCCAGCGATGTACATGGGAGCCTCAGCAGTCTCGGGTCTCTTTCCTTATTGGCTGAGACACATTTCCATTGGCTCCCACTGTTGTCAATCACAGCCACTGAGCCAATAAGGAGACAGCAGGGGAGGGGCCGAACCA